AATCAAATCGAAACACGAAAAGTTATCCAAAACTAAAAATTATCTATAGGCGTCCCAATGGGGATTATTATACTCTTTACGCGGTAAAGCCGACTAACTCTCATACTAGGATACCTTTCCTGTGAAGCATATGTAAATGCACCGATGTAAATATCGTCCAATTTGTGATGCCGCAAAATGAAAGTCAAAAACTCAATGTGGCAGTTTAAAGACGCTTGCGATTACTACGCCCGGAGGCCCTAAACTTAATATCATTTTTAATTAATAACTGTGTTTTAATTAATCACATTCATAAAAGCACGATTTAGATATAGCCCGGAAATTTGTGAGCAACTGGATTTTCCAAGATGGTATAGGATTCTCGCTGACGGCGCAGACACACCATGTGAGATTATTGCAGGCGACTCCTCTTATTTCTACTTTTTATTTCGGAAAAAACTCAAATGTTATCTTAGTTTTAAATCCAGTAATAATTTAAAGCTTTTTCTTACAAATTTCAGCATGATTTTAAAACGTTAAAGACTAAGTAGCCTCATTAAGATCCCCAGTTTGACCTATTGAGTCCAAAACAATACTTGTGCATTAAGCTACTATCGTGGGGTCTCGGTCAATTTCCTTTACTTCATTATTTTCTGCATACTGAACGCTGCGTCAGTAAACGATCGTTTACGAAAAAAGCGACTATTTTCAATCATTTTGGTAGACGACATGACACTACAGTGTGCTAGGGTGGACGTCTTGGAGCTGAAGCCGTGTTCTATCTACATAAAAATCCTCTCAAAGTGGATATCTCTCACAATTTCGAGAATAATTTGCTGTTATTTACGACATAGGTAAACTGTTAGTTTGTCTCCTAATTTTGGAAAAAAATAAAACACAGTGTCATTTAACACAATGCGAAATATTAATTTCTCCGGTTTTTTTGCTAATGCGGTACGACTCACCATATTATCATACATTTTCGCTTAAGGATCTTTAAGTTTTTCCGTTGCCTTTTTGTGCACTTTAGTTTTACTAACAAACAAAAAGCAGTTTGTTTTTTTTCGAACGCAAGCCGTCATTTTTCCGGATTCAGGTAAAATTTTAAAATGCACATGAAGAGAGCTATACAGCTTCAGACATATAGCTAAATTTGTCCATACTGTTTTGGAGGAGGGTCTGCTTATTCCTGTTTATAGAACGGTGACATTTAAGCCAATCACAAATTACGTTTAGCAGGGGCGTTTGCATACGTTTTAAAATTAAAGGCATGTAAAATTTTTGAGTTGTATATGACTTCACAGAAGGTGTATGGTAACTGTTTATTATCTCAGGGCTGAATGCTGCCTAAGGAGATGATTTGAAGAAGTCCATGTAGAACCGGTACCGACACTTACACCGGTGAGAGTGAAACTGCGATTTCCAGGTGGGATTGAAGAAAAAACAAGGGACGTTCAGTGAACGAGGTTCACTTTTGGTCTGACATTTTGGCCACCCCTCTTCGAAACTGTGGGGTCCTGTGCGCCAATCTCATTATACGACGTGCGTTATCTAATGCGCAGGTCACAAATATTGATTGTTTGACTGAATCGAGCCCCTGTTTCGGCGTGGCTTGTGCCGCCCGTTCTTGTTGACCACGATGATAATTGGTGATTCCGATTGTTTCACGCCTTCATTGTTCCTGACAAGAATGTTTACAAAACCAGAGGAGGAGGGAAACTTTTTGACGGCTGACTGGTCAGTCAGTTGGAAATCAAGGCTTCCTATGTTTACTTCGGCGTGTTCCGCCGCCCAAGCCCACAATTGCGAGGACGTCAAAGTGGAAAGTGTATTCCATGTGCGCGACATGGCTTGCCATCCCTAGCTTTGGGCCCAACCTTTGAACGACCAACTGATGGTCATACATTTGCGTTTGTAGTCGCCAATCTGTTTAACCTATATAAGTATACTTCTGCAGTTACAAGTAAGTACTTGACAACGACCGACTTCTCCTGGTTAGGGGTGTAGTCTTTTGATCGCATCATTTGCGCACCGGACTCTCCTCTCTCTGAAGATGGGTAGCCGAAATCGTTACCCAACATATCAGGCTACAAACAAATCTCCTCTGGTGGACGCTTACATTTTTTTCCTGGTACCTCATTTTAGGACATTACAGTAGACTTCAATCTATCACTCTTGACTGTTTTAGCCAGAGTCCAAAGCGATCGGGCTAGTATAATTACAATTGACATTCTCCGCAATGAAACTCTCGAGCCTTTGATAAGCTTTTTCAGTATGTTTTGAGCGAAAGAGACTATCTCGCTGTTGACTCAAAATTAATTGGCTTATGACATGTTGCCAACTCAATCCTGATATGGCTCTAGAGTGAATTCTCGCCAAGCAGTCACCTTAGAGGAAGATTTGTTATAGTATGCATTTTGTATTCCAGGATATTATATCTCCCCAGCACCAAGTAAAACCGGACCCATGTTCCGGTAAAATAGTGCCAAAAATCGGTTTATTGCTCAAATTGTAAATAATTTGGTTAAGCTTTCACATGCATCAACACCCAATTGGAAACTAAACACTTCCACAACAGCGACCGATTGCGAAGTGCAACTTATACGGGCAGCTCGTAAGATGCTCATTAAGAAACCGATAAGTAAGCGCATCTGAGTGGACTTAGAATTATATCCGCTGCCACTCAGTTTTGCAACTTTGACCTAGGTTATGTTTCCGTATTGAAATGCTATTTTAAAAATTAAGTCGATATTTCGTTAGCATTGGAACATACTGTGTGTACTAAGTATTTCAGCTATTTCATTACTATAAGCCTGCCTTTTCTCCTGTCTTTATGTGTTGCGCATAGACCAACCCTTCCGAATTTATCAAGTATACACGTTTCGTTCATACTCCAGACAGATAACGCTACCTGTTTACCATTCACTAACCCGAAGTTTCCGATTTTTCGCCTTTATGGGTCTAGACACTTATTTAATCTTCCATGGCAGTTTTCTATGAAATGCCGAATACTCTTGTGGTTTGGATTATAACCCGCCATATTTTACGCTTCTGTTTAGGACTTACTATGTGCCCTATGATAAGAGTGAAGGTGGGCAGTCACGTAATGACCGGCGAATTGAAAGCAACGAAAGATTGATCACGCATGTAACCACCTACCAAGCGCCAAGCTTCTTTGCTAGAAAAGATCGGGAGAACGAGGGCCTACGCGAATGGTCTGATAAGCAGGTGTCAGGCGACCAGAGAAAGGGCTGCGTTTCAAACCTTGATATAAAAAATGGACTTGATACTATAAACGTAAGTTTTTAGTGTCTCCGTGCCGGTATTCGACGTTTATATTTTTGAGTTATACAGAAACCTTCTTCACCACTCCCAGCTTATTATTTCCTCTAAGTGCTACCAAGCCACTAGCGTTGATTTCAATTGCAAGGACATTATAGTTATGTTTTATAGCAGTTTCCCAGCATGCCTATGCGAAAGACGTATGAGCCCTTGCAGATATTGAACAGGCCTCAGAAGAAATATATTGCGGCTGTTGCAAGCTGCGGTGTGGTCTTGGAATCAAACTGTGAACGAATTTTTTTACAGTTGGGCGAACCTTTGCCGCATCTATCTCGCTGTCTTTGCATACCCACTTCGTTCTAATGATAAGACAATGTCACGGCTGTCACAGGTAGCCGTGGGCTCAGTGACTGACAAAGTACAGGCGTTTTAGATGTCCTCAGTCCCATGTCTATTCTTTTCAGCCGGTTTCATGGTATTTTTCTGGCTCAGATTGCGTAAATCGGATAACACAATCATTTGAACTCTTTTTTGGCCGGCAACCATGTCGCCTAATAAAAGATAAACAGATAAACTTGGAGAGACAACGATAATATTTGTGTATGTTGCCTTCTGCTTTTGGCATGGGTGTTATCTTTAAAAAAACCAAGTTTATTGTGGTCTTTAGAATTAAAAACACACAGCAATCCTCATCTTTTGAGAACATTTGAATGGAACCCCAGCAGTACACTTATATTCGAAGCATAGAACACGGGACGGGTGCTGCTTTCATCAGATGAATCAATCCATAAGGTTCGGGGTGCCATGGACGATATGACTTTTCCACTATCTGTGTGTCCCCTTCGGCACGTTGTGCTACTCTAGATTAAACCAGACCATACTGTTTAATGCTTTCCCCTCTGTCGTGAAGTACTATTAATAGCAGTGTAAGCCGGTCTTTTACCGCACGTAAGGCGCTTCCTCGGTCAGATTATGGGCAGTACGGAACATGCAACTTCAGAAGACCTTTACTACGAATCAAGTTTAAGCACTGAACCCCTGAACTCGCATCATGGTCGCCACTTTCGAGCCGTCGCAGTTGCGCTCAATAGCTCTGCAGTTTACTTAATATGCGTCACGCAGGGAGCGTCTTTTAATCGAAGCGACTGCTTTGCTTTTTGTCTAAAGTCTATCAACGCCTCTTTGGCATCTTCTACATTGGTAGTTTTGGGGCGCCGATGAAAAAATGCGATCGAATTCCGACCGTTTACTTTACTCCTTAAACTCAGCCTGAGAACCGAACCCTGCAGCCAAATTTAGCATAAAATTTGATGAATCTGAACGCAGTTTTACCCATCTCCCATTTACGTAATTTATTCTGTGTGTGCTGTCTTTGCTTTGTTGTTTGTCCATCAAGCATGCATTATCGTAACTGTTATTAATATTGAACACCAGTCTACAGGCATGATAAATACATATATATATATGTAGATCAGAGGGGGTATGCATTCCGAGTCGATATAATGAAAAGTAGAAGAGGTTCTTCGGAAAAAATCGAGTTGTACTCGTGAATTTTCGAGCTGGTGACACCAACCCGTCGTCAGACGAAATGAAAACGAGGAGAAAGTTTTGTTGTCACAGTAGACCAGTTGGTGTGATAGGACAGAACAGACCACTGACGTGTGAGGGGGGGGGTGGGCTCCCGAGGTCATGGTAGGTCACTGAGTGAGGGGCGGGGAAAGGGAGAGGAGGCGGAACAATTACGGCACACCGTGCTGGAGGGGGAGGGCGGGTGGTGAATCAGTTGGAATGCGGGCGGCTGTATTCGCGGTCGTTGATGCGTGATTAGGGCAGGCGGCAGTCATTCTTGAACGTATACCCTCGTAATGGGCATCTAAATCAACGTGGCGGTTGATACTACCCGCATCGGAGTACCAAGCCTCGAGAAATTCCCTCGCTCGCTTTGTGTTAGCCATGGCGACGACCTTAGTGCCATCCCAATTGAATCGGTGATCGTACTCGAGTGCATGGGCGAAGACGAGGGACAGGGGGTCTCGCCGACGGATAGCTAGTTTGTGTTCGTTGATACGGGTGCCCAGGCATCGACCTGTATGGCCAACATACACGCAAGAGCAATTAGCGCACGGGATACGATAAATTACATTCGTTTGTTGCTCTTTGGGGATGGGATCCTTCACTCGAGATATTGCTGCGCGCAGTGAAGATGCCGGTTTGTGGGCAACGTGAATACCCAAGCGGCTGAACTGCCGAGCGATTATTTCGGAAGTTCCACGCATATATGGCAAGGAGTAGAATTTTCGCGTCACAATCTCTCCGTTGGGGGTGGGGTCTTGCGACTGTGTCTGGTGCCTGAGACAGTTCTTTACAAAACTGATCGGATATCCGTTAGAGCGGACTAACCGATACAGGTGAGCAAGCTCTTTGTTCAGGAGACCGTTGCTGTTACAATAACAATAGGCCCGGTGGAACAGAGTTCGGACGCAGCTTCTTTTGTGAGCTGCGGGGTGGTTGCTTCCATAGTTGAGGATAATCTCAGAGTTAGAGTCTTTCCTATGGACGCTTGTTGCCAGGGCACCATCGCTCAACTTCTGTATTCTCACGTCCAGAAACGGCAAGCTGTCTCCAATTGCCTCTTCGCGGGTAAACTGTATGGCTGGGAAAACGTCATTCAGTCTCTGGTGAAGACGTTCGACTTCGCACTTCTTTATTATGACAAAGGTGTCATCAACGTAACGAAGCCATAGTTTAGGCTTGATAGCTTGGAAGACTACCTCTTCTAGTCGCTGCAAAACTAGTTCGGCGAGAAGTCCTGATATTGGTGAGCCCATCGGGGTTCCCTTTACCTGTTGGTAGTACCTATTATCAAATTGACAATAGCTCCTAAGGCAAAGATTTAGCAGTTCTATAACATGCTGCGTTGGGATCTCAATAGGATTGTTCTGTAGGCGTTGGGTTACGCATTCAATCGCCAAATCGTGTTGTATGGAAGAAAACAAGGCAACGACGTCAAAGGACAGGAAGCATTCATCGGTACTTACTTTGAGGCCTTGTACCCTGCGGAGGAACGCTTGAGAGTTGTTGATGCTGTAGTCCGATCCATAAGTGAGCCGCTTCAGACGACTGTATAACCACTTAGCCATATTGTAATTGGGTGGTCCGATAAGTGGCACTATAATCCTCAGGGGGACATCCACTTTGTGCACTTTCGGGAGGCCATACGCGTGTGCGATGTGGGGATCACTGAGGGTCATCAACTTGGAGTCATCTGGACTGATAATTTTCAAACGAACGAGCTCATTAACCTTCTTTTTGATGGCTGCGGTTTGCTTTTTAGTCGGATTTTCAGCAATAAGGGTATAGGCCTCCATGTCACTGAAGATTTCATTCGCCTTGTTAACGTATTCAATTTTGTCCATGATGACAGTAGCGCCACCTTGTCTGTATATATATATATATATATATATATATATATATGAGAAAGTGAAGGCTCTTCGGAATATTGAGTTGTACTCGTAAATTTTCAAGTCGGTGACACCGACCCGTCGTCAGACGAAATGAACAGAGGGAAAGTGAAGTCGGCAGACTAGGTCGGCTGGCGCGACAGGACAGACAACGACAAACAGACAGCTGATGGGTGAGAGGGGTGGGCACCTAGTTGTGGCACGCCGTGGGGCAGGGGAAGGGAAGGAAGAACCGTTAGGGCTCTCAGTGTTGGAGGTGGTGAAAACGTGGGGGGGAGGGGGGGGGTGGGGATTGCGAGTCAGTGGGAATGCGGGTAGCTGGTCATTGATGCGGGCGGCTGGTCACTGATGCGGGATGAGGTCGGGGGGCAATGCGCCGGCGTTGGAGGTGTTAGGGGGGTTTAGGTTGTTGTTCACGCAGGCATCCCAAGAAACATTATTTGAAATCAAATACGTTCTTTGGGAAGGGACGACAGAGAATGCGGTTAGAGTGATAAAGTACTGTTTCAAGCTTATTTTGCCTTCATTCAGCCAATTATAACCCTTACCAACGGCTGGGACCAAAAGCACAAACATGCGCACAGACACACCTAGCGCAGCTGGCCCACCGCTGGGGTCTACCAAATGGGTCATAAGCACTTCGTCAAACCGAATTTCATCAGTTCCTCGCCACCTGCCATTCTATGTCGCCTTCGAGCGGGTATTTACCCAATCAGGAATGGGTGCACACCTATCTATTGGCTTCTCGAAGCAAACAACCCCCGTATGGGTGGCAAAGGTCACGAACAGGCAGCCAATTACCAGGCCAGTCAGCCAAGACATAGAATGACAAGTGGCGGACACTGATGAACTTCGATTTAATGACTCATCTGGCGGACCAACTACGCCAGATGTGTCTGTGCGCATGTTTGGTTTTCTGGCCCCAGCTACTGGTCAGGGTTATGATTGGCTGAATGAAGGCAAAATAAGCGCGAAACAATACTGTATCAATCTACCCGCATTCTCTGTCGTCCCTCCTTGTTGCCATTATAAGTGAGCCGAATTCGGCCTGGTAGCTGGTTGCCTGTTCGTGGCCTTTGCCACCATACGGAACTTGTTTGCTTCGAGAAGCCAATAGATTGGTGTGCGCCCATTCCTGACTAAATATGTACATGTATGCAGTGTGAATCGAGCAAGCAGGGACAAAAAGCTCCCGTGTGTTCCGTTTAGCTCTAAGTAACTCTGGTTATTCAATAGAAAAAAATCGCAGACCACGGAACAACGGCAGTCCAGAACGTGAATGGTTAGAACGAGTACGGCAGGATTTTGCAGTTTCCACTCCAGAGCCTAACAGACTGCAGCAGACGAGGGGCATGACAAACGGTTACTTACCGCCTACTGAAAAACTTACTCGCTGAGTGGCGGAGTGCAGAGTCGAGACGATTCTCTTCGAAAGAAGACCAGACAAAGGCATTAAAGATGATGAACTCTATTGCTATTGAAGGTGAACTCGCTGGATTTGACACCGGGAAATTTTTAAAGTTGCTCAGAGTGAAATCGTTCTTCTTGTGAGCGCTAGTCTGCGATCCATCGAACTGCAGCAATCTGGTGAAATATTAAACATCAGGGATTTCGCGGTACTCTCCTTGCTCTCCTTTTCTCCTATTAGAAAAGGATGATAAAAAACGCTCTTTTGGGATTCCGACCAGTAAGTGGTCTGTCATAGGGCATGAGAGCATCCTGTATTTGAAAAGGAACGGCAGAAAACAACCCGTAAGATATCCTGCTCAGCTTTAGGGTAGGGTCGTAAACTAGCGTCAACAGGTTGCGATGACTGACGCGCCAGGACGGTGGGCTTAATAAAGTTCACCAAGTTTTCACCTGAGTTCATCATTTTCGGGCAAAAACTGGACATGTCGTAATGAACTGCATATTTTGCACTTCTCTCTCCCCTCTAATCATCTAGGGATTGTGGTTTTATAGAATCGAAGACTGAGAAAATTTCATCACAGCCTTACTTCTAATAATTTTTCATTTGTTGGTTAAGCCGTCTTCGAGCACATTGCTTGTGAATGTAATCTGTCCTAGTTTAGAATCCTCCATTCGACTCTGCCCACGAGCTATTGTTGGATTTTCAAGTTTATTCCACTTATATCCCTTTCTCTACTCCCGCTAGTCACAGATAAACTGCCTAGTTCAGAGTGTAGCCCGTCTAGAGCAATCAAACCAACTTCTCTGGGAGAAGTTTGGCCTTCTTGAGAAGCCTGCGGGTGCCAATGTCAGTGCCCAGTCCCAGCGTCAGAGATCGCCGTCGTGCACACCCTCCCCCTCTGAGTCTCCGCAGAGCAGAACTGGTAGGAATGCGGAAACGAGTGCAACGCTTGTACATCCTGACTGTCCCCTGCATGGGCGCGAGAAGGAGCGGCTCTCACCGAGGTCTACCGACAACGTGCCCTTTGTTCGTGTGGCCTGCTCTGCCAATTCACCAGTCCCTCCTATCATCTACATAGCTAAGGCAACCTCCGGTGAGGTTCGCGTCACCGAAGCCGATGTTTACACGACAAGGGATTCTTCAAGATGGCGCTCCAAAGCAGAACTCTCGTCCAGTGTGTGAGTTTGTTAACTACCCAGTGTCCTATTCACGCACACGCGGATGACAGTTTGACCACTTTCACCAACGATATACACTTAGCGCCCGACAACAAGGACAGTAACTTGTGCATGAACTAGTCTATAGTGACGGTGAACTTGCGCTGCGTCTGCCGTACGCTCTCCTTCTTGCACACCTCAGCCCGCTGTCAATACAGGATCAAGAAGACCGGAGACGAGATCGGGCACAGGAGCCGACAAAGCCAAGCAACCCTTCTGCGCGTGCCACACACGCCTGGTCTGCGTACGTCGGGCCGGGCCTTCACATATGCAACAAAGGGAGGCTGTTTAAATCCAGACCGCGCTAGTGTCATAAAAGCCGCATTACAGAGTCTTTGCAGCCTGACTCTCTGTTCTGTGAGGAGGTCCGAGTTCTCCACTTTGTTGTTAGCCTCTAGCACACTGTAATAATTTAAAAGCGCGTCAGATGGCTTATGGTGAGAATTATGTGCTGAGTTCCGTGAGTCGACCTCACCATATCTCCCACCCCCCCCCCCAACTACCAGTTTACTGCCGAGCTGATC